ACAGATACAGATACAGATACAGGGACAGATACAGATACAGATACAGATACAGATACAGATACAGATACAGATACAGATACAGATACAGTTACAGGGACAGATCGAGTTTTTATAATCAATTTTTATTTAATCTTTTCTTTACATATTATTTATTTATAACATATATTTCAGAAAAACTGAAATCCTTCGCTGCAATTCTAATTAAATTCTTTGCAATTCGTAATATTTACGATTCCCAGTAATTCGCTTAACTGTTATTGCAGTTCTCATGAAAATTCACGACACGAATTGCATCATTTTGCAAGTGCTTAACATTTTAAGTTGCTGTAAATAAGAGAAGTAGCTGGAATTAGTTTACTTACATAGATGCCGCTTTGTGCTCTCTTGCAGCGTACGCAGCACCCACATCGCTGTCTCCCTCGCACCCACTCTATTTTATATGTCATGCAAAATGGCCGATTTGGTCACACTGCAAGATATTTGCCTGCGTTTTGTTGCTAAGGCGTCGCGCAGCTGCTGTTGAGCTCTTTCGTTGCTATTGTCGTTCTTCTTCTTTTTGTTGTTGTTGTTTTTTTTTTATTAATTTTTTCGCTCATTAATTTCAATTCTCCATTTAAATAGCTTTTTTTTTTTCGCTGTGCGCCATTTTTTTTTATTGACGTCGCGACGCTTATTTAATTTTTTTTTTTTATTTTATTTTCTGCGTATTTGTTTGCCTTTGCAATGTTGATAAATAATTACTAAATGTTGCTAACTTTAAATAGACGCAAATTATTATTTATCTAGCTTAATTGGTGAGAATAAAACACAATTGAATATCAAATATCATATATCAGCCAATATAAAGTGAATAGAACAATGTAAAAATTCACTTTACGTGTGTTTTATCAGTTAATTGAGGGACGTATTTATTTCAGCTTAGATTATAAAATAAATTGTTTAATACAAACAATAAATTTTAATAATAAGAAAAGAGAAATGCAGAGACTCTTAAAGATATAATTTATATATGTAGGCATTACGCTTAAAATGTTTTTAAAGGATACTGTTATATAAGAACCATTTTTTTTATACAAACTTTCCAAAGCAAATAAGGGTATGGTTTTTTTTGTTTTTTTTTTTTATAAGAACCATTTTTTTTTTATACAAACTTTCCAAAGCAAATAAGGGTATGGTTTTTTTTGTTTTTTTGTTTTTTGTTTTTTTTTTGTTTTTGTAATGTCCGTCCAGTGTGCAGTTTCTCCTCAGACGCCCTAGTATGGTAAAATTCATGAACCAATATTTTGAATTTATATAATTTTGTTTTTGTTCCATTTAAGTTTCTAATTACGAATACTTTTACTATATAATTAATTGTCTATATAGATTTTCGCTAAAGGTCCCTTAGATCCATTCTTCCCAGCTCGAATACGATTCACTTCGCAGTCACTTTGTATACTCCAACTGATCCACTTCCAAATATAATACAATGCAATTCGAGCTCGAATATTAATCTTTCAAAATGTTGCTCTGCGCATATAATTTTGGGATATTAACGGTATCAATTTCAACATCTCATTTGACCCTTTTGATAAACTATCGTATAATAATCATGCCACATAAATTGCGAACGATGATGCCGCATACAGTTTTGCATTTGCCATCTTGCCACACCGTCAAATCCCATAAAA